TGAGCGGCCTCCCCCCCGCGGCCTCCTCTGACACCCCCTTCTTGGGCTCCCTCCCTCCGGCACCCCCCGGGCTCCCCCGTCCTCCCTTCCTCGTCCCCTCCGCTCACGCCGCCCGCTCTGCCCCGCTCAGACCTCCGCAAGCAGGCGAGGCAGCTGGAGAACGAGCTGGACCTCAAGCTGGTCTCCTTCAGCAAGCTCTGCACCAGCTACAGCGGCGCCCGCGACGGGAGGCGCGACAGGTATAGGTACTAACCGCTTCCTTACGTTCCACCGCGCCGCCTTCCTCGCAGAGCTTTCCTCGGGGCTGCCTCCCCACTGCCACCCGTGGCTGTTACGCTGCGCTTCTCGGGAAGGTCATTTCAGCGCGTGTTAGCTGTGGTGTCCGGGTCCGTGGGGTGACACGTGAGCGAGGAGGAGGTACAGGCTGCAGGAGCGGCCTGGCAAAGCTGGGTTTAAACGTGGGTTGTAGCGTTGGGGGTAGCGTGTGAATGGACACGGCACACCTGGCCGCCTCAGCTCGTTTTCTGCTTTCTCCTGTATTAACACGGCAGAGGTTTTCACAGCGTTTCCCGAAGTTCTTGTATTCCACAAACATTGCCTTAGACCTCGCAGGTGGAAGGGGATGGGATCCATAATCACCGTTTAACGATGATGGGCACAGACCTGTGCCCGGCACAGGGAAGGGGGCAGCTCTGTTGTTTTCCCTGCTGGAGCGGTAGCTGTTCTGGTTTTCTTACAAGATAAGCAGTGAGAGCTCCCCATATGTACGTTTGTGTGTGTATTATACATGTGTATGTGTGTCCACTCGCTGTCGACACATTAATTATTGACTGGAGAATTATAATAAAACTGAGTTTTTCCAGCCTGTGGGCCAGAATTGGGATCTTTCTGCCGTTCCACAGAGCTGATAATCAACTTCACTTGAGTACAACCTTTAAAAGCAACACTTTGAGTACTGATTACGAGTCCTAGTATTGCATATTAGTAGCAAGTATGACACCGTGTGCGTATTTGTGTTGATTTTTGATTTCAAACTTATTTTTACTTTCTGTCCCTCTAAATCCTGCAAGATGTGCCTTGATAGACACAAACTTGCATACACTCTAACCCCACATTCTTGCCCTTTTGGGTAAACATCCCTGTCATTACTTTCATCATGGAAAATGGTCCTGCTCCTTTGAATCATCCGAGCATTTCTTGTTTTCCAGGATACCTTAGTGGATTGGATATTCTAGAGGGCTGAATCATTTCTTAAGTCAAAGTGTGTGTCTTGCATTTCTAGTTCTTTGCTGTCTGTCGCTTATTGTGTAGTCTAATTGTTTTACTTTTGCTTTCCCATGCAAAACTTCCTTAATTGTGCTAGACTACCAAAGCAGAGAGTTGCCTTTTGAAAAGGTTCTGCAGGTTGTTCTACTGAGTAGATAGTTTCTTAAATTTTAAGTTTATCTTTAAAAGCATAGGGAAGGTGAACTGTATGAAACAGAAATTGTAATAAGCTGTATGGTTTGTGTTGCTTCATGTCTGCATAAAATGTCAGTGGGAAGTCCTAGCACCCTGTTAATAATGTATAATCAAGAAACTGTTACAACATGTTAATACTGCAGTGGTCCTTCCTACTTAAAAAAGCCAAGCTCAGAGCTTGGGGACAGAGGGACATTGGTGCTAGACGAGTAGAGCTGTGTGCTGCTGCTGGGCACGTCTTCCAAGCAGAGGCTCTGCTTTCCCCAGGTGATATATTCTTTTAACTCTTACCTGGACTAACAACACACTGTAAGAGGAAAATGCCACTATCTGAACTTAACTTTTTTTCCTAGAAAACTGAGGTAATGCAGCCTGCTAACACCTAACACCAGCATTTGTCTGTTTTTTTTTTTTTGCATTGGTAAAAAGATGTGCTTTTCAGTTACTACTCCTCTTTTTCCTTAGCTCTGACACGACTCCTCTCTTAAATGGATCGAGCCAGGACAGGATGTTTGAGACGATGGCTGTGGAGATCGAGCAACTGCTGGGAAAGGTAAAACAAGTTACTGTATTTTGACTTCAGCCTCTAGTAGATATCCCAGCACAGGATCCTGTGACAAAATGCCTGGGTCGTGCTAGTATGGACAGTGAGTATTTCTGGAGGTGTCTCTCTTTAGACCTAGCTCCCTCAACTTACTTATAATATAACTTTACAAGTAATTTAATAGCTTTATATCAACTTATACTTTACAAGAATAATTTCCTTCATGTTTTTCTCTTTCAGCTTACTGGAATAAATGACAAAATGGCTGAATATACAAATAGTGCAGGAGTCCCATCCCTGAATGCTGCACTAATGCACACGTTACAGCGTCACAGGGATATATTACAGGTAACAAACGTATCTTTGTTTTTGTTCTGTTGCTGTGTTGGAATAAATGTTGGTGATATTATAACATACTTGTTCATTTTGTGTATGTAGTCACATTCACATGTCTATACATACACAGATACACTCATGGGTACAGACATACCTGTATATGCAAAAAATATATATATATCCATACGCCAGTTTTCCAGGAGGTGTCTCAGGGATGCTCTGTAACTGAAAAATTCAATCTGTAATGAGTGTGATTAAGGAGCAACAAGAAAAGAGTCCAACTAACTGAAAAATATGTTTTTTACATGTATTGCGAGTTCAGGATCTGAAAACATTCTTGTAACTACATATTTATTTTACTTGGAGAAGTTTGTTTTTAGGTATTTAAGTAACTTTGTTCTGTATATTACTGATCATTTACCAAAAGAGAAAGTATCAACTTCTGCCAGGTTTTATTTGTTCCTTCTCTTCCCCACCCCCCTCTTTCTTTCAGCTAAATTATGTTCTACTCTCTTTAATATTTAGTTACCTAAAATTAATTGCCACTGGAGATGTCTGATAAAGGAAAAACTACCCTTAGGAGTCTGCCTGGAAAAAAAATCAATTGAAAGTCTTGCCTGTGGAAGTGAATCTCATTTGGAAGTTTTTAATGAAATGTAGGGCTGGGCTGTTCCCAGGGCCTGTACAGGTTCCTGCTTTAGCTGTTGCCTCGTTTTTGTGCAAGAGTATTTGGAAGGTTTTGCAGTCTGTGCTGGTGAGTGCAGCTCGCTCCCAAAACACGTCTCGAGGGAGGTTCTGCACAACTCGGCCTTCAGGTTCCTTTCCAGAAAGTCTTCCCCTGAAATGTGTGTCTTGTGCTGTAATACTGAGTGTCTCTCATCTGAGTAGAAAAGCTAAAACTAGACCCGACAATTTGAGCAGGAGCTGGGTTAAAAAAAATAGCATTTTTTAACATCATCTTATCAAATTGTTGAGATTTTTATACTGTTTGAGTTGTAGGAAGCCATCATTTAAAGGGCAGTGTCTAGCTAAGAAAGAGCACTATAACGTGGCGTCATCTCAGTGCCTTTATGTAGCAACAGGGAGAAAGTGCAGTGGTGAATTCATCCTGTGGTTTATGTGGTCTGTCACATAGCAATATTAGAGGGAGATTAACATTTAAAATAGGAAAATGTGATTGGCAAACCCTCTTAAAGGATAAAGGGACATGAACGGAATAAACTATGTTTCAAATCTCTTACATTTTCACAGTAGTGACATTAAAAATATAGGTTTTATTAGGCTAGATACGTGGAGTGTATTTTCTTTGGTCTCTGTACAGTGCACAATATAAAAGGTGTAGCATTTTATTATATGAAAAACAGTGCTATATATTTACAATGGTTTTGGTGTTGCACTGAACACCAAACACCAGTTGCCAGTTAGATTGTCTATCAAGAAGTATTAGCTGCCCAAAGGGTTGTAAATGTAAGATTGCAACTTGAAAAATCTTTGAAGTATAACTGTCTAAAACTGTTCAGACTTTTTTTTTTTTTCCATCCAATATAACTTAATGAAATAAACCCAAGGATGCCTTCACCACACCAAATAATTTTTTCTAGTGTTTCAAGTTCAATGATGAATGGGAAATTCCAGCACTGAATGATCCTTCCTCAGAAAGTTGTAGATACATGAAAAAGGGAGAAGGACCTAGAAAATCCTCCCCAGGACCTTAGCTGTAGCTGATGAAAGTTGGCAAATACCGTGAAAGCAGTGAGATTTAAATATACTTGTTATTGCCTTTCTACTTAATATGCTTTCTTTGCACTCTTTATTGAAGGATGGCTGATATTTTAAAAGACAGATTTTACATGAGTATATTGTTTTGTTAAAGTGAACTAAGTTTGTAGTACTTGTTTTATTACAGGATTATACTCACGAGTTCCACAAAACCAAAGCAAACTTTATGGCAATAAGAGAAAGGGAGAATCTGTTGGGATCAGTACGGAAAGATATAGAGTAAGTCATGTTGTATATTGTAAATTGTGCAGTGTGTTATAGCAGCAACATGGGACTTTCCTTGGAGGAGAAGACACAACCCTCCTGTAGGAGGAAGGTAATTGGCATTGCTGATTCATCTGTCTCTTAACAAAGCAAGAAAAGTTATTTGAATTCATGGCTCCTAGTACAGCTCTAATGAGCTATAATGCAATTTTGTCTTATTTTATTTTACTCTAATAAAGAACTTGTATTTTTGAAGTAAAACTATTAAGTTATGTCAAATCAGTTTAAAAATATCTTAACATGACTGGAGCTTTTTTCTTTAGTCATTTAGGAATAATAAAGCATGTAAATACTGTCTACCAAAAAGCTTTGGGGAAAAGATTATTTTATTTTATTTTAATTTTATTTATTTTTTAGATCATATAAAAGTGGATCTGGTGTGAACAACAGAAGAACAGAGTTATTCCTGAAGGAACACGAACACCTTCGAAAGTAAGTACTTATGTTGGGGGTATCTAATGTTTTATTTTATTTTATTTTTAATTTCAAGTATGGAAACCTATCTACCTTGGTAGATAATATCAATGTTGAATGATTCACAGTTTGCATTCTGTGAGAACACTGGTTGCAAAACATCTGTGGCTCTTGCTGTGAAATGCACGTGGTAGGTAGCAGTCACACTAGTTTTCAGCAATTTCTGCTTTAGAAGCTTGTCAGCACTGACATTTTTATGCTGTTTTCCTTTTGCAAGTCACTCGTGACCCAGACTTCATGCTTGACCTCTTCTGATCTTAAGAAATTCTATCCCTTCCCAGTATAATAACTAGGATAAGGGTTAAAAAACAAAATAGAAAGTCCCCCTTTCCTCTCCTTTGTTCGTCAGTGTTATGCAGGGAAGATCATTCTTTCTTTTATTTTTTTCCCCTCTTTACCACTGAAGGTGTACAAAAGGAGTGTGAAAAGACTAAATTCTAAAACAATTGTGCATTTAAATCTTTTCAGATTGGCTGTTAACTTATTAGCCAAGGTAACAAGCAAAGGAAAAAACACTTTTATTCTTGCTGCAGAGGGCTTTAGGGTATGATTAGCTTAGTTGTGTGTTCCCTACTCATCAGTTATTTTACTCTGGATATTTTGCTTTGGAGGCCAAATAGCGCTTTAAGTTTGTGGGAATTTTTGGTGTAATTTATTTATTAGAGGAATTTGGAACAAGTCTGTCAGTTTGCTCTTTTGGCAGAGCTCTAGTCTGCGAGCGTGGTCTATTTAGTATATGTGTGCAGTGACTACTCGTGTATACAGGGTGGTAGTTTTCTCCTGTTGGCAATAAGCAGAACACATTTAAGGAAGAAAAACAGCACATTCCAGTGGATAAGCACTGGAAAGCTGCATGGTCGCACCAATCCTTGTGCCTCTGAATCCTCTACACCCTAATCACGTTAAGCTCCAGTCTTACACAAGAGGGCAGACTTTCATTTAAAAGAAAAACCTTTGCCTGTGGCATTCTCAAATGTGCTTTCTTAACAGTAACTTAATCATCTGGTCAGAACTGCACAAAAAGCTTTTATGGGAAATTAAAAGAAAGTTCCTTACTATCTTTATAACTCAGAAATCAATCAATTTAGAGCTTTAGTTATGAATTTTGTTAGATTGTGTTATTAATAGATACAGAAATCAGGAAATATAAAGTTTCCAGGAAAAAATAAGCTTAATATTTGGGAGGAGAATGTTAACTGAAATACTGTATGTTGAAGCATGAATATCTTTATCTAACTCAACTTTCTTTTCTTTGTAAATGTTATGATTTCTTTTTCTTGATGAGCAATAAATATGTGTTTATTTAGCAATAAATGCTGAAGAAAGATACCAGTGAGTTATTTCAGGAGTTGCTGTAAAATACCCTTGTAAGAACTGGCTTTCCTCTGGATGTGCTGTTTTGAAAAGTTAAAATGATGATGAGAGGAAGCCTTGAAATATTTTGTAAGCAGTGTCTGGCAGATGCTTTCAGAAATTGAGTCTAGCACTCTTTGAAGTATTGATTGCTTTGATCTCTTTACACTTACCAAAATCTCCAGCATAAAATACAGAATGAAAACGCAGTTTCAGAAGATGGTAGATTATTCTAGGTGATTTTAGGTGATGGCTTGAAAATATCAAGATTTTAAAAAATCATAACATTAAGAAGAACAAACTAACAAATCAATGCAAGTTGGGAATCCTTAAGAAACAGGCCAGAACTAAGCATGGAAAGCGCTGCAAGGTGGCGATATCTTTAAAGTATGTGAAAGAATCTGCTGTAGAAAAAGAAGAAAACCTTGGCAAGAAATCAGAAGCTTGCAAGATACTGAAAACTTCTGAATTGAGGATCAGTAAGCTCAAAAACCAGATACTGGCTAGGAAAGCTATCAAAGGGTTCCAGCACATTTGTCGTCAGAAAAAGCAATTAATGAGCTGTTACTGCCAAGAAGCTGTAAAAGCTAGTGAAAGGTCTCAAGAAATCAACAGGGTCTCGCAAATTATATACATCAAATATGCTCCTACAATAAGCTGATAAGCCTTGAATGAATTCTGGGATGCTGAGTATTAGCAGTGCGGGAAGTTACGATACTGGATTACTCTGTAGAACCGGGTGATGTTACTTAAATTGGTCGCAAAGGTACAGCTGGATTTCAGATACGTTTTTACTGACATGACCTATGAGAAGAGCTTGAAGACCGGAGGTAGAGTTGTGGGCTTTTCATCCTGATTATTTGTCATCCTGACAAATAATGAAATAATGCACCAGCAATCGCATATTAGCATGGAGTATCAAAGCATTCACTTTGTTGTGACCCTGCTTAATTAATCTATTAAGTACTTTAGCCTTTTCCACACTTACTTCATAACTTGCTAACAGAGGACTAGGAGGGAGTGTTAGGAATCCGTGACATGGCAAAAAACTGTTAAAATGGGACAGAAACAGTCGTGCCAGTGTCTCTGTGAACCAAACCTCAAAGACCCACAGGTGTTGGAGCCCATGCAGGGACCCTGTGCAGAGCTCCAGCGCTCTCAGCCCTTCTGCACAGCCACACGAGATGGGACAAAAGGGCGAACGAAAAATGAAGAACTAATTTTGCTTAATTTTTACATATGGATGCAATTCTAAAAAGTAGGGAAATAAGTTCACTGAGCCTGATTGGTAGCTAGGGCCCAACGTATATTAAGCACTGAGGGAATTTCGGCAGCCTTTAAAGCCATTGCATGCCTGGAATCCATAAAGCTGCTGGCCATTAAGCCGTGGGGCCGGTGCATCCGTTTGGATTTGCTGTCCTGGGTGGGGCTGGTGCTGCGTCAGCGCCGCTGGCACCGGCACCGCAGCCACAAAGTCCTTTTGCCATTTAATTCTGCACAAATAAGTCAAAACTAGTCTCCTGTACCTCTGGAGAGGAAAACACTATCCCTTCGGTCTTACATTTATAATTTTTAGCACCTGCCAATTAAAATGAGTATGGAAGATGGGAAATGAAATGGCGCAATGATGCTCCCTTAATATTTTTACCTAAAACCATTACATTTTTGGCATGGCGGTTGCTAAAGCAAATATCATCAAAGGTGCTGCAGAAATATTTCCAGGAGATTTTTTTAATGTTTGCTTCCTTGGGTCTTTGTGATTCAGTAAATGTCTCTTTTTTTGTTCACGTGCTTTTTGCCAAGCACGTAAACAAGTCATCCTTTTTCTTGTAATGCTGCTTTCCATCTAAATAAACCAAATTTTAATGAATAGATCTGGCTTAGCAGTTTAGAAACTGCCCAGAAAATGTTGCCTCGGAGGAAAGAGTCCTGTCAGTTTAGTGTTTGAGAAGTTCTGCAGTTACTGAGGAATCGTGTCCTAAGTCAGCAAAAAAAGGAACTGAAGTGATGGGTACATAAGCACGCACAGCATCGCAAATGTATTGTTGAGTGAAAATGTTTCCCCACGTTACTACTGGGATTGCACGTGAATGATGGCAGTCATTTCATGTAATTTTGATAAATTGGTGTGAAAATTGATGTGTAAGAGACTACAGGCTTGTTACATATCAGATTCCTCGAAAATCTAAATGAAACTTTATGGTCATAAGCATTAGCTGTAGCATAAGCACATTTGTTCAGTCATTTTGGAGCTATATCATGATGCTACTGAACTCCAGTTCACAAAAATAGGATTTCTCTCCTTTGCAAGAGAGGTGGCTGGTGGTGCAGCAGGTGCCTGTGCCACTGCAGCTCTCTCTAATTCCACTGCTTAAATCCCCTGGAATAGCTAAGGAGAGGATGCCCTCAGTGCTTCCTATAACCTGTAGCTTTGGGAACGGAGAGGGTAGGGCTGCATGAGGAGGAGGATGAGAAGCTCAGAAGGAAAACAGGAGAGAGAGCAGAGTGAGGAGGAATGTGTTCTGCATGCGAAAGAAGGGAGGAATGAGCGAGGCGAGCGAAAGAAGTGCAGGAATCTGCAGCAGTTGCATAATGGTGGTATAAATGAGACATAGCTGATTCATGGGAATGTGTAGGAAAAATTAACGTTTGGGCAGCGCTTCATATATTTAAAGCACTCTGAAGTGCTTATTGTCATTATTACTATTATTATTGCATTTCATTTTTTCTTCCAGAGGACTATTTCAAATTTCCTGTTGTTTGGGCAGAAATGGCCATGTTTACTAAAGAAATAATCTCCGGGAAAATGTTTTCAGTTGTAATGCAGTCCAAATCTTAATAGAGGGAGTGTCTTGCTGACCATTTTTCCTCTAAATATTGATGTTGCTAGCAAATGTTAACTTCAGTAATGGAGAAGTCGGCTTAATGAAATGCTGAGGCACCTTATAGGGTTTTTGATTATAGGTGTGTTGTCATTTTGGGAAAAAGCTACCCTTTCCTACTGTAATTTAATTCAGTTTTCTGCTGCTTTCTCCCCCACGTGATTCCCATTCCGTGTGCTCAGCCTCCTTTACCATCCTTTAGGCTCCTGTGGCCCTTTGGTGTTGGATTAAAACCTCACAGCTACCGGTGCCTTCCCTTCCACAGCCTTGATTGCTTGATTACCTGGACCATATCTTGTTCAGCTGATGGATAACACAATAACATAGTGCCTTGCCTTCACCTTTGCTTGGAAAGAGGCAATAGGAAAATGAGCAGCTTCACCAATTCCTTTGTTTTTTACCCAAGATGGTTAGGGCAGCAGCAGGGAGGAGGAGTGTGATGAGCCTCTTCCCTGGGTGCCTCCCTGCTCTGCAGCCTCAGCACTGCTGAGCTCTGCTCCACTTACACCCCGTGCTGCTTTGTTCTTTAATTATTTTTTATTGCTAAGGTTGTCTCCAAATGAAACTAATTTTTTGTTCTTGTCACTCTATTGTATTAATTTTAATACAGAATTTAATGAAGGAAAGCTTGGTACTGAATCATTTGCTTTGTAGCAGTTATAAAGAAATCAAAATAGATCTGCTCTAAAAGGACAGTCCACACTAACCATGGCCTTTTCTCAG